ACAGGCTTTCCGGATTTTAGCGAGAAAGTTTCATAACCGATACTAACTGTATCGCTGTTCCCATCATCATCTTGCTTAGCACTTGCCTTTGCTACTGAAACGTCAACTGGATTACGTCACGGTCCAGCTCCTGTTCATCTGCCGTCTCAGCCAGATCCACGGCTGTGGCCCTTGATGCAGAAAACACAGGGCAGCGACATTTGCTGGAACCAGTCCCCTCCCTACGCCGGCGCAGGCCTGGGTGCGCCCGCATAAAGTTCACTGCCTCCAACAACACAGGATCAGATCCCAAAGGTGACATGTTTGGAGGAAATCCTGGCCTCCCTGAGTGAACAGAAAAAATAATCCTAGGCTTTATCCACTCAACAGCTACGGCAAATATTCCATTACGGAATTATGAACGGGGTTAACTGCGAGGTGGACATAAACGCACGCTGAAAACAGCAGAGGGAAGTTAAAGTTTCAGCTGCGATATCCACTACAGGCAACAGCAGTTTATGTAGTTAATTTGTCTTTCTTTTTTCACTCAGTTTTCCTGGAGTGTCATTTTTCAGCTGCAGCCCAAATAAATATTCTGTATTTGCCAGAGCCTGAAGAGAATTTCATGGTCAAAACGCCACATCTGATTTCCTATCTGCTTCTAGCCTATGTTCTGTAATCCTAAACTTTGTGCAGTCAATTTATAGTTCACTTGCAGCATTTACATTACATAGACAGCACGAAACCCACAATCCATCATACTGTTACATTTGAGCATCAGATACAATTTTTTTTTCTATCCCTTTAGAATCGTATGGAACACGTGAGCTCCAATATTAAGAACAACCAGGAAAAACTGCTGTCTTTCAAACAAGATTGTTACTAGAAAAGAAACACAATTTCAGACATAAAACATTAGCATAGAACGACACAGTTCACTTATTGCCTAACAAGACATACTACAAAATGAAAGCAGCTGAACTACCATGGGTGCTCAAAGCAGCTTAATTGCCTCGCTTGTAGGATTGGATTTCCAGAGCAGATATGAAAAACAGCAACAACAAAGAAGATGTTTAAAACAACAAACCATCAAACCAAAATGTAGCATTCTGGACTGTTGCAGGCAAATGGCTTAGTGGGAGCTCAGGGGACAGTACTGCTACCGACCCAAGATGGATAACAAGAGGAGCAGCTGACAGGCTACGCAGCATTGCTAGAGCTCAGTCAATTTGGTAAAATTCAGAGAGCAGCTTTTGCTTCCAAGTATCAGTACCTCATAAAGACCCTACTGCAATTTTTCTTCTACAAGATTGTTTATTACAGACCAAAATGCCTTTCCCCAGAGGTAAGTGAACAAATATAAAAATCACTCAGGTCAAAAAAGCTAGGATTCAAAAGCTAGACAAACCTAGCGACAAACAGCACTACCAACGCTGTCGTTTCTGAGACAGATGCTCTATTTATTCATTTGTTTTCAAAGCATTTCTCTGAAGAGATTTAGCGTTCCGCCTCTTGGAGGAAGAGCTACAAGTTCCCCAAGGTTAGAGCGGCTTTTGATCCAACACACAGAGCAAGAAATACGCTCCTGGGAGCCTCGTATTCTGCTCCCCCTTCTATGCGATTGCCTGATTTAACCTCTCAGCTTCCGGCGAGCAGGAGCGTGAGAGGGGCGCGTTGCTTCGGCCTCAGAACCGCTGCTCTAAGGGCTTAAGTTTCTAACCTCAACTTATAGCGTGTAAGCAAATACGTGTATGACTGTTACCCGAACATAAATGTGCTGTGAAACCTCTGATGCAGAGCAATACACTGAAATCTACTGAAGACAGACACAGCTGTTTTCTTTCTTTAAAAAAAACTATCCACCAATCACCAAGCACTGCCAGATTACCTCGTTAATTGTAATTTTCTCTTCAAAGTGTATCTGCGTTTCACTGTACCTTCATTAAAGCTGGTATTTACTTGACAGCAAGTTACCAACATCTTTTAATCAGCTTATCCAGAAAAATAATTTGGGCTACAATCGCTAAATTGATGCACTGCAACATGATTAGCCGAGCTGTGCAAAAGGCTTTAATCATACGAGGGAGTTCTCAGATTAGCGCTGGCTCAAGTTCAAATTGCAGCTCCGAGCGAGCAGTACTGTACTTGCATTTTGCTCATGTTTATAAACACGCGATAAAAGTGTAGGCCTGTCTGCATATCTGCAAACGCCATCAGGCTGCTGCTCACAATGCATCTCCAGTTTGAGCCTGAATATTTGGGAGAGCACATATTTCACAGGGAAGGACACGCGACACTTTCCATCCCAGACTAAATCAATCCTACAAACATCGGGAACATCAGACCTTTTCAACCAAACCCATTTGCAATAAATTTCCCAGGGGCGAACACAGGGCAGCTGCGGCTAGGAACGTACTCTGAGAGCTTCGCGCAGTGATTTCTAAGACGAGTGGAACTTCTGCGGCTTGTTCAGCCAAACGAGCACCTTAAAGGCAGGCCAAGGCGCGGTGGAGGCCAGGGACCGTCCCCTCCTCCCCGAGCTCAGCAGGTGCCGCCCAGGCTCTGCGGTGCCGCCAGGCTGCACGTCTCCCGCAGCCGCTTCCCCTTTCTCCCTGATTCATCTTGTGTCCAGCAGGGGAGATGCTGAGCACACGTGAAATGTTGATTTTACCTTAGCTGGGGAGTGACATTTCAAATCTTGAACTGTCACAAGATAAAAAAAGAAAAAAACAAATCTCTGCCCAGCTCTGTCATTGTTTTATTTACCTGCAAAAGAATCAGTATAATCTGAAAATTTGCAACTTGCTGCCACCACTGAACAAGACAATTTTGGTTTAACCTTTGAGGGCAAGTCCTGATAAAAACGCATAAGACACTTAGCTGTAACACTTTCAGACACAGCCTGACTTACCTGTGTCTCAAAACAAAGAGTGCAGGATGGTAGGTCCTTATTTGTCAGGAGGACAAACTTCCTCAAGATTCACTTCAGGAAAAGTCTCAGTGGCACTTTGCTGTTTTGCTGCCCCAGCCAAAGCTTCTGGTGCAAAGCATCAGTGCTCACAGCTGTGCATCTGCTGAGATGCCGACCTCTGGGGTGAGCTGTCTCATTACCTATGGCTGTGAGGCGATTCATGGCCCTAGGTGCTTCGGTGCCTAAACTTCAAAGAACTTAATTTGGTAGGTTTACTCTGAATACACCCAGCACACAGGAAGGCCACTGAGCTGAGTGCAAGCCACGGCAGCAATAAACATTTCCCTTTATGGCAGTAGTATAGCGGCTACCTGCTGCGCAGTAGCTTACTGGTTAGAAAGTCAGCCGACACAGAGTGGACTGGAGTCAAGAGGCCTCTTAGCCCCAGGGCCAAACCCATGGCTCCCACTCTGAAGGAAAATGTTTGGAGATTCAGATTAACAGCAAGGCTCGGATGAAACAATTCTCCCTCCTCTCTGTTGAGGCCATGCTGTTAAGGGCAATACATGGGACCAGAAAGAAAAAAGAGCAAACAGAAAGGAACTTAACTTTGCAGCCACGTGATGGAGGAGGGAGGGAAGGGGAGTCCTGGACTCTATGCCTGCGTTATTTACTAATTTTATCCATAAAGTCTATACTGTAAAATGCAGATACAGGTCATCCTTGCAGCACAGATCAGATTCCTCTCCCTGTGCGCCAAGCCTTTTACTTTTCTAGGAATCACAGAATGGCCGAGGTTGGAAGGGACCTCTGGAGATCATCTAGTCCAACCCCCCTGCTCAAGCAGGATCACCTAGAGCACATTGCACAGGATTGTGTCCAGGCGGGTTTTGAATATCTCCAGCAAAGGAGACTCCACTACCTCTCTGGGCAACCTCTTCCAGTGCTCCGTCACCCTCACAGTGAAGAAGTTTTTCCTCACGTTCAGACAGAGTTTACCATGTTTCAGTATGTGCCCGTTGCCTCTTGTCCTATTGCTGGGCACCACGGAGAAGAGGCTGGCCTCATCCTCTTGACACCCTCCCTTCAGATACTTGTACACGTTGATGAGATCGCCTCTCAGCCTTCTCTTCTCCAGGCTAAACAGGCCCAGCTCTCGCAGCCTTTCTTCAGAGGAGAGATGCTCCAGCCCTCCAATCATCCTAGTAGCCCTCCGCTGGACTCTCTCCAGGAGTGCCATGTCTCTCTTGTCCTGGGGAGCCCAGAACTGGACACAGTACTCCAGGTGAGGCCTCCCCAGGGCTGAGCAGAGGGGAAGGATCACCGCCCTCCACCTGCTGGCAACACTCTGCCTAATGCTCCCCAGGAGACCATTGGCCTTCTTGGCCACAAGGGCACATTGCTGCCTCATGCTTAACTTGTTGCCCACCAGGACTCCCAGGTCCTTCTCGGCAGAGCTACTTTCCAGCAGGTCAACCCCCAGCCTGTCCTGCTGCATGGGGTTATTCCTCCCCAGGTGCAGGACCCTGCACTTGCCTTTGTTGAACTTCAGGAGGTTCCTCTCCGCCCAACTCTCCAGCCTGTCCAGGTCCCTCTAAATGGCAGCGCAGCCTTCTGGTGCGTCAGCCACTCCCCCAAGTTTAGTATCATCAGCAAACTCGCTGAGGGTGCACTCTGTCCCTTCCTCCAGGTCATCGATGAATACATTGAACAAGACTGGACTCAGGACTGACCCGGGGAAGACACCACTAGCTACAGGCCTCCAAGCCTCTGGAATTTTTAAAAGCCATCACATCTCCTCTCCTGTTCATGTCAATGTCTGAAGTGAACATCTCCTACTGCTCTGACCTCACATTATCGCCTTCTTAGTCATCAAAACTGTAAGTAGTAACTCATATAATCCATTTTATAAATTACTGTAGGTAGCTAGAACCAAATGAACATCACTGTTCACTTGCCTGGTATTAACATTCTTTACAGTTTTCACATACAGGAATCCCTGAGATGAAATGATTTCCTCTTTCATTAATCTGTATTTTAAAATTCCAGCATCCTTGAGCAGAGACAAAAACAACATTTGTTGTTTAGGAGATTTTCTTATGCACTTTACCTTGAGAGCTTTCTGTGCAGCTTCACTTGATCCGATAGCAATCAGGTTTGGTCCAGCCATGCTGCAAAAACTCTTCAGATGCAAAGAATCGTGAACAGGGACTGTGGAGACAGCATAATCCTGTATGGAAGCAAACAATGGCTGCTATAAACATTTTTAAATTGTCCTAGTTCCGTAATTACATTGTGACATTCCATAATTAATTTTACTCTCTGCAAATTAACAATAGCAACATATCCCAGGGCACAGTGTCAACTGTTTAAGTATGACATACCCCTCTGGACCAGCTTGTCTTGTCTTGTGCACTGGAGTAAAATCCAGAACATGTTTCAAATATTACTAATGTTGCAACTGTAAAGAAATACATTAAAATGTGTAATTAAACACTATGTACATAAAAACTCTCCAGGGACCAGCAATAAGAATATGTTGCTATATATTGTTAAGTTTCCTAAATCTAAAACTCAAGTGCTGATATGCCCTCAGATAACAATAGCCTCCCACTATCCAAGTTACTCTTATGTAACGACTTTACATTTCAGATCCAGCTTTAGCATCTGTCACTTGCTCAAACCAAAAAGGATGCTCAAACCTTTTCAGTAACTTGGTCTTTTTTTTTTTTTTTTTTTTTTAAACTAAGTCCAAAATAAAGCACCTCAGAGTATGACTTCAAGTTCTTGTTACCAAACATCTTGGCCAGTATAATTTTTAAACTGGTTCAGTGGATCATAGCTTATATTTCTTGTGACATAAATGAATCTACAAACCTTAAACGTGTCAGCCAGAATTTCTGCTCCACGTTGATTTGTCCGCTTAGACAGACCCACAAAAAATTCTCTGCCTGGAATGAAAAAATAACAATTGAGGGCAAAACAATTACAGCCTTTTTTTTCTAAGCTGTCCAAAAAATTACATCATCAGCACCTTCACCAGAATCTACATGTTTTAAAAACAGGACAGTTTTAAAGATGTTTTGTGACCATCCTTCATGGATATAATTTTCTTTCTTTTCTCAAGTTGAGTAATAAAGCTGAAAATTCTTCTTAAAATTACACAACCTGTAATTGCAAGCTGATAATTTAAAGTGATTATATTTTTCCAGAAGAAGCATTTCATTAGATGCATAAATAGCTTCCTCTTCTAAAGCTCTGCAATGGTCATTGAGCAAGGAAAGCGAACAGCTGGACTGGATTACTACGGCACTGACTGACCATCTCCCCCTCCCTCTGCGGCTTCCTCTGCTCTCCGAGGCAGCTATGCTGACACGGGCATCCTCAAGCTTCAGAGGAAATCAATGCCCGATCTGCAGCGTGCTAGAAAAGCCTTCTTTTTCAGTTTGCCTCTTTTGAGACCCTTCTTTCCCCTTTGTGAATTAAGGCAAGCAGCCTGTCTGCTGTGATGCTGATCAAAATAAACAGGCTCATTCAGCACAGGCAGGGAGAAAATGTACATGAAGCCAATGTGAGAAAATGCCTAATGGGTTTAATGACATAAAAAATCCAGTCAGTATCTTCACCTTTGAAGTCAGCCGTGCATGTAAGTTGTCTAGCGCATGACATCTGGAAGGCAACTCTACCGCTTTCTCCATAAACTAAAAATGCATTTTTTTGTATATGATTCATTGAACCAGTGACAATTGCCTGGATCAAGCTTTTACAATTCCTGAAAATGACTGCGCGAACATAGCTGCTTGTAATAAGAAATAGGAAACAATTGCAGTCAGTTGACTACTGAAGGCATTTTTCTTATTGGCACTTTACAAACTAAAATAAAATTTGTATGCACAATACTGCTCTTTGTGCTGTGCGTATCGCTAGTTCATTTAGTCAGGCATTAGTCAGGACACTGAGCATTGCATTGAAAATTCATCTGTCAGCTACTTACATGACATTCGGTAAACAATTGATTTAACAAACTACATGAACGACTTTTTATTAAGCAGTTGACAGATAACATGCGGTTTCTAGGCAATCGGAATACCTAAACAGCACTGCCACTATCGCTACCATTGTACCTGTAAATAAGACGTCTCCACCATCCAAAGTCGCATTTTCATCTACCATCTCTACCATATTGAGGTTAAGACTTTCTAATACTCTCTTCATGGCTTCGACCTGTTTAAAAGAAAGTTGTTGAGACTATTACTTGGTCTGTGCCACCGAAAAACTTCAAAAAAAAATCTAACTGAAAGGGACCTCCTTAATAAAAATATCAGTTAATAAACACACTTTCAGCAAGCTGGATGCCAGGGGCCTTTGTCCCTGCACATCACAGTGCCCAGACTCTCTCCAGAGCTCTCTGTGGTCGGGAAGGGATGGAGGTGTAAATTAGCAGCGGTCTGATTCTTGCCTTTACCCATGACACACCCAGAGGAGACAGAGGGAGGTACCCACGGCCTGCTAACTCCAGTCCCTCTGTGCAGTAACGCTAGCTCTTGCACAAGCCTGTTCCTTAGGCTTTGAACAGGAAAAAGCAATGACAGAGAAGTGGCATTTGCTCTTTCTGCACCGCTCAGATGCGAGACACAGCTCTACCGGCCGCAGATGCGGAGGTCTACCCTCAGCCTCCCTGTAGTAAGGGAGGAGAACTTCTAATCAATAAGCTTTCATCTTCTTTATAATTTTTCAGCTTTCCTGAGCACTAATTTTTGCTGCGTTTCTGCACTACCGCGGTACAGAATCGCAAGAGCTCCCGCGCGCACGTTTCTATAGGCTGGGCATCGGCAGCAGCTGGCGCTGCCACAATCCCTCTCCTGCTAAAAGGTTTATAGCAGAGTCGGGTAATTCTACTTCATTATGCTTCTTCTCTCCCCGTAAGAGGCTGTTAAGGATGTCTAGTGCAGAAGCTGTCTCTATACAGCATCACGTCATTCTTGCCATCTCGGTGCCTTGTTATCCAAAAAAAAAAGTCTGAATGCAACAAATCACTCACAGAAAGCTAATGTCTACAACTTGCAGGATGTCAATATAAATACAACCTCATCCACAAAAACACGCAACTTCTGATCCCACACAGGAGCATCTTTGCATTCACTGAAACCTCATCACTGTGTTTAACCAGAGCTACCTCACAAGCATTAATGAACGCAGAGGACACAACGGTCTGCTGGCTCTAATCTTTGCAAGTCCCACAGGTCCTTCATCTATTTAACATGATAGTTTGAGCATTTCTGCAAGAACCACAGGAAGCTGATATGGGTGACAGGACCCTGTCTCCCAGCACCGTATGAAAACAGCAGTGACTCTACCAGCACCGGGCCTCAGGCTCTGCCAAGCTCTACGTGGCAGAGCACAGAAAGGAGACGGCGTGGTGACACATCATTCCCATGAGCTGCAGCAGTCTCAGGGCACTAGTGGCGAGCGCTTTCGTTGTCATAGCCTTTTCAGAGCTGTTCTGTCTGCAGGGAGTAAGTTGGGGGGCAGACACGATCCAACTACACCTGTGTTTCCCTGCCATTTCCACGATGAGGCTCTGTGGAGTTTGTGAGCTGCCCTACGTAACTCCGGAGCTGAGGCCCCAGAGGTGAGAGAAGACCAGTCCCTGTGGACTGCAAAGACAGTTGATGGGGACAGAAAAGGGAAACATTGGGTGCATCATCTTATCTAAGATCTGATTTGCTCTCTGGAGGTGCCTCTTTCTCTCTGTCTCGTTCTCACACTCCAATCAATGACTGTACAAAAGAGCCTAGGCCAATCACATCCCTAAACTAGGTGCCTCAGTTCAAAGTTAAATGGGAAGAAGGCAGGTCTTTGTGCCACCTAGCTAGTGCTGATGGGTTACGCTGCAGCAGGTAACTGTACTCACGAGCTATCTGAGACCAAGGGACTAGTTCTCCACGTGGGAAATCCTCCCGCATCCCCTAGCTGTTCCCCCTCTAAGGCTTGGACACTCAGACTGGAGCGTGCCTGCAGCACATCCATTGCAATTACTAACCTTTGTCTTCGATTCTTTATCTTTTTCTTGATGCTAAAACGATTTCAGGCTGAAACTCTGCAGTCAAGGATCTCCAGGCTGAAACACTGTTTATGTTTCCATACAATTGTGCTTAAGCCTCAGAAGGCAGGCTTAATCTTTCTTTCTACTCTTGTTGCTCTATCTCCAGTGATCTTTAAAATTAAGTTTAAAAGGAAAACTTGGATCTATGCGGTATTTTAAAATAAACAGGAAAACAGCTGGCTTAATATTTGAAAATTAACTTGTACAAGCACAGCAACATTTTGTAACGTCCATGCACTCCCTGATATAGGAATGACTTCTGCCTGTGAAGCCCAGTAGTCTTTACCATGTAGGTGCTATGCGCCTAAGAGCCATGAGACCTAAAGAAGAAAAAATTGCTTTATATGGAATAATATAGTTGTGGTGTCATGTAAGAAGGCTCCCACCCCAAGAGCACACAGACTTGATAATTTGTGCCAGAGTGAAGCAGATCAGCAAACTCATGACTGGGCATAAAGATACCCTGGCACTAGAACGTGTGTGCTCCAGCCACAGGCGGTGGGAGTAAATAAACATACCCAGTAGCTGGGATTATTTAAGGCAGATTGCCAAAGCTCAGGAAAAAGAAAAAAGAATCACCCAGCCTGTTCTGCAGTCACACAACTCTAGTTAATCCACTGTCTCCAATAGCTTCCAAAACCAGAATACTGAAAAGAGAAAGCTCTTTCAAAGAGATGCTTTGCTGAAAGGCGCAGGAGCCGTTCTGGCTTCCGGAGAAAGCCAAGTCAGTGACTCGGGGGCTCTCCCTGCAGAGCATCCCCTTCCCCCTGCCCTGCCAGGGCCACCCACTTCCCCGCTCACTACCCAAGGCAGGTTCACTGCCAGAAGGAGGCAGATTATTCAGCGGAAAGAAAAAACTGCATGCACTTTGGGTATGTGAAGGAAACTGAAGTGGTACCAAAGCTGAAGATGGACCTGCCTGGGAGAAGACATGCCTGGGAGCAGAGGATGCAGGAACTGGCCACCAAGATGTGCATGGGCTCCCTCCAGGTGGTGGGAAGCCTCGAATAAAAAAGCCTGAGCACTACAATGCTCAGGTGCAAAATGCTTACACACTCCTCAGAAGTGACTCAAAAGCAGTCAACACGGTCACCTCAGCAGTGATTAATGTTGACTGGGAAGAGCATGCAGGCAAGAGACCTGGAAGATGTACTGACTCAGCTCAGACAATAAATTCAGACTGTATCCCTCAGGCAGGGTACTCCGAGCTGGGGTAAGGACGCCATACAACTTTCTAGGGAGAGGCAGGCAGGGAAGCAGCAATACTTCAAATCCCTGGGCCACAATGGCCTATTAATAACATTTGCACTAGAGCAGCAATTAAATAAAGCTCCTAGCTAATGAGAATAATAGAAGGTAAAGACTGACTTTGGATTTGTTATTTGAGCCAGATGTACATGTTAATTACCAGATGCTGATTACAATTTAACCACCAGGCTACGTCAGAGATGCTGTGAATTGGTTTCTTTACTTAATTTACAGGGGTTGACGCAGCTGTAGTGCGGGCATTAAGAAAAATTAACGGAACTAAAAGTTGTCCAAAATCACAGAAAGCTACCTTGTTTAATTTGCTTCATGATTGTTCCAGGCTTTGAGGATATTTATAAGGTGCTCAAGATGTTGAGCCCAACAGTTGAGTGCATTTTAACTATGAAATCAAAATGAAATAAATACAAATTGCCATATAAATAGCTGGATCTTTTCTCCATCAAGGGTGTTAATAGATTCAATTCTACAGCTCAATGTTTTGCAAGGTTTTTAAATGGCCAGTAGAAAGTCCTAGAGTTTTAATTGGAAAGTGCTGTTCACACTCTGGTGACATATGCTAGGAATAGCTTTCAACATCCATTGCTTGTGCGATTAACAAAAAAAAAAAAAAAAAAAAAGACCCTCAAGTTACTGTTTTTCCTATGGGCAACACCAGGAACTTCATTCAGTAGAATCAGAAATAAGAAATGGAGCACAAACTGAAGCAGAGAAGGAAGATGTGAATTATTAAAAAGAAGTTTGGGAAATGAGGATTCGTAAATATAGGATTCTAGAAAAACTAAGCTAAAAATGAATAGCCCATCTGCTTTTGCATACAGCTGAGTTTCTTGCACAGTGCTCAGCTCAGACTCACATTACCACTGCCACAGCGACGTCTTTAAAGTGATGTTACCGTCACGAGTAGAATCTTCCAAGTAGCACGTCCAGAATAAGCGTATTGACGCCAGAGGTGCACGACCATCTTGGAAAACGTGCTGCACCATTCAAAGAGAGGGTTAAGAAGTGGTAAAGTACACACAGGTTGATTGAGTCTGTATCTTGTTATTGCAAAAGGGAAGCGAGAGGCTGGCACCAACCTTGTGTCCGGAAAGCCTTTGTGAAAGCATTCCCAAATCAGGAAGGATTGTGGAGCACCTTCCAAAGAGAGAAAACAAGAAGCAATGTCTAATGAGGGACAGGTGATTGTTATCCTCAAATAGAAAGTTAAAAAATAGGGATGCAGTGAATGGATTTGATTTTACAGAGCCCCCTATCTTCCTCACACTTTATTCTCCTGAAACAACTAATATCATTTTTTCCTCAAGTGTGGAGTCTTAATGCATACTGGTGGGATTTAATAATGAATGAAAGAATAAGAAACAATTAGCTTTGACTTATGAACAAATCATCACCTCTTGTTTTTTTCCAGGAAAAAAATGAAAAAAAAAAAAAAAAAGGATGGAAAAAATCCTGTGGGTAGCCAAGCTTACCCAGGAAGCAAGAATAAAATACATAAAGCATTTGGAGATGAATTGACATATAACAAGCATACTCACTGTAAGGAAGACTTACTGCTTACTTTTTTTCAGAGTACTCAAAAGAAAAAGTTACCTTGCCTCATTTTCTGTCCTTTATTTGAAAAATATACCCCCAGGTAGTCAGAATTGCAGCATACAAAGAAAATGCTCATCTGTATCATTTAAGATTTCTGTATCATATTATCTAAGGTCAGCCTTTGGTTTGTAACATGATATTGGGTTTTATTGCAAAAGTACCCATTAGTACATCAGTTGAGCGTTAAAGCTTGTATGCTTTGCATAGTGATTTTTTTTTTTTCCCCTAATAAGCACATTCCTGGTGTGAGCTGGAA